AGAGAAAGGAAAGAACAAAAGAGAGACAATGGGAGAGAAAAGGAAAAGGAAGCAAGAAAGGAGGGAAGGAAAGAGCGAAGGAAAGGGGAAAGGAAAGAAGGATGGATGGAAAGAAAGAAGGAGGGGAGGAAGAAAGGAGAAAGAAGGAAGAAAGGGAGAGAGGGAGGAAGAAAGGAAGGAAAGGAAGGAAGGAAAGAGGAAGGAAAGAAGGAAGGAAGGAAGGAAGGAAGGAAGGAAGGAAGGAAGGAAGGAAGGAAAGGAATTTTATTAAATCTTTTCTGTCAATTGGCCATAGAGCTGGTGACTATTTTTTCCACGCCAAACCACCGGTCAATGCCAGACCAGGCCCATCAAAGGGCAGCCATCTCCATGTTTCATTTCCCACTTTTGTGGAGCTTTGAGGCCAAATTTCTTGCCCACTCAGGAAAGCCCTCGAGATAACAAGGGCCTCGATTCCTCCCGCTTTGGTGCCTATGTCACTGAAACCGAAAACCCACCACTCAGGGCAGAAATACAAGTTAGTCTTCAGAGAAATGAAGGAGTTTGGATTCTCTTTGGCTCCCTAGTTTGAAGCCAAATTGAGGGGGCCTCGGACTCCCTTCCTTCTTCTCTCTCCTTTCCTCTCTTTCTCTTTCCTCCCTCTCTTCCTTTCCCCCTTCCTCCTTCTCACTCTTTTCCTCCCCCTCTCTCCTTTCTTCCTCCTTCCCCTTCGTTCCCCCTCTCTCCTTCCTTCTCTCTCCTTCCATCCTCCCTTCCTTCTCTCCCTTTCCCCTCCGCTCGATCCCTTCCCGCGGACCTCACCTGCCTCGAGGGGGGCCCCGCCCCCGGCCCTGCCAGCCTCCCATTGGCCTCCCCTCCCTCCGGCCCCGCCCCTCTCTAACCCCCCTCCCTCCCGCGGGGGGCCTGGGAAAAGGGACTCCCCGCCCCCTCCCTCCCCGACCCGCCCGTGGGAGACCCGCGGCTGGTCTCGCCCTCTTCCCGCCGCGCTGCTTCTTCCTCCGCTGCGGCTTCTCTGCCAGCTGCTGGCGAAGGTAGCCCCGCCAGAGGCAGCTGGAAGTGTCCCTTGCAAGTTGCTCCGCTGTTGCGACTCCCGACGCTGTCCCGGGACGAGCGATGCAAGCCCGCCGTCCTTTTGCATCACAAGCGCAGTAATTCCGATCCTTTTGCCTTTACGGCCCTCCCTGCAGGAAAATCAGATTTTCGCCTTCCTCCTTTCGCCCGCGATGGACTCCAGGCTCCTGCGCCTCTGCCTTTGGGGTGCTTTTTCCGGCTTTTTCCTGCCCGGGGTGAGTGAGGAGTTTGGGGCGGGCGAGTCTCCGCAAAGGCGGTAGGGGAGCTCGGAACTCAGCATTAACCTCCCCCTCCCAATCCTCCGTTATATATTCCATTTATTTCGTTTATTAAATGTCTATGCTGCCCGGAATCTGAACTGCCAGTTTGTTTGTTTGCTTGTTTGCTTATTTACTTACTTTTAATGAAATATTTTGTGTGTTTATGTATTACTTGCTGTTTATATGTACACTGTGAGCTTATGAATTCCTTGTGTGTCCAATCACACTTGGCCAATAAAAATTCTATGCTGTGCTATATTCTATTTTCGCTATTTTATTCTTTCTTCACATTGCATTCTTCTATTCTATTCTATTCTATTCTATTCTATTCTATTCTATTCTATTCTATTCTATTCTGTATTCTCTATTCTATTACGTTCTATCTCTATATTGCATTCTTCTGTTCTATTCTATACTATATTCCATTCCATTCTTATTTCCTATTCTATTCCATATTCCATATTCCATTCCGATTCCGATTCTATTCTGATTCCTATTCCTATTCCTATTCCCTATCCTATCCCATTCCATTCTGTGTTTAAAATGGCTTGCCTGCCACCCCTGCCAAAAACATCTGGCTGCAAGGTAATGACCAACCTCATAAGAAAACCCGCAAATAGACGGGTTAAATGTATAAAAATTCCAATAAAATCACAATTAAAAATACAGGTTGTAACTAACCCTAAAAACCAGGCATTTAAAATAGAGTTGGGTGCATACGGTTGGATGAATGTGTACAGCACCTGGCACTTCCTACCTGTATCAGTAACCTGTAAACCTTGCCTATTTATAAGGACTGTACAACCTGGTTAGCTTTTTGCATTAATGCCGCATCCAGGTTCTGAGAACATGTGTGTCTGTACACACACACACACACATACCTATGTGTCAGGCATTAGGCACCCCGGATCTCCTCTCCCTCTTCGTCCACATTAACACCCACATCCTTTGCTATCTTTGCTGAATCTGTTTTTTTTAAAAAGCACTCTGCACATGCTCCAAAAAAAAGAACTCTCTACATGCTTGGGTGTTTGGCCAGTTGGCCATTTCTCAGTTGGTGGGAGGGGTTAAAACCCACGGCCAGTTCTGAATTGAAAATCAGCTCAAAAGATTCTTATGGATAAATTTGGGGTCCCCCCCCCCTTTTTTTTTTTTTTTCCCAAGTCTGGTTGAAAAAAAGGCTTCCGAAAGAAAAACCTTCCTGCAGGGTTTTTGTACGTGCCAAAAATATTTTAGTTTGGGTCTCAAAACATTTATAAAATGGTGTGTGTGTGTGTGTGAGTAGGGAAATGTTATAAAATGGGGGCAGCGGGTGAGTTTTTAGTATATAGTGGATTTTTGATTATTTTTTTAAACCCCTGGAGTCACTTAGGGTGTGAGTTGGGTGGCTACTTAAATTGGTGTAACAAACCAGATAAATATGTATACAATGCCCACAGTTAATTTAAGTTAAACTTAAATTAATCACAATATTGGGATCAATTTATCCCTCATTTATGAGATTCTGGGTCTGAGCTGCCCTTCCAGAGCCCTTAAACCCACATTTGTGGTTTAAGATTGGCTAAACCTTAGCTAGTTCTAAACTCCATATTCCTGATCTTCAAGTTCAGCCACTGATTCGTTCTTTTTCCTTCCTGAATGGCTTAAAAATCTATTGAGGAGCTAACTTTTAGCTGGATGAGAGTAGAGCTGCCAAAATCAGTTTTCCCCTCTTCCCAAGCAATGGATTACAATACCCATCATCTTCCTGCGAAATGGGAATTATGGGGCTTGGTTTGGGGTTGTCAGATTGAGGAATGCAGTACTCTCCATCTTTTCCGTAGCATGTATAATCCTTTGATTACACTACAAATTGTCTTGCTAGGATGTTAATTTCTTCGTAGAGAGAAAAATTGTAAGTTGTTATATTGCCCTAGGTTGAGAATTGCAAGAAATCTCCTTTTTTTTGTGCGCTGGCTTTTCTGCTTGCAGGCAAACCAATACGTTAACAACTTGGGTTAGATGAGAATATTGTAAGATTTTAGTCATTAAAAAAAAGCTGTGCAAAAATTAGAGGTATAGCCTGGAGAAATCTGGATTTAAACTTCCACTTAGTCATGAAATTCCTTTTTGTGAGTCACAATTTCTGTACAGGTCTCACAAGGTTGTTGTGAGGTTGGAATAGTTGTGTGCAGATTGAGATCTGTAGACAGGTGCCTTTCTGATTAGTGTAAGAAATGCTTAAATAAATAGAATTATATCTATTGATTACATCTGTGTAATTTATTACAGCAAATGACATTTGGTTTCATAAATATAAAGTGAAGAAACAGCTAAAGGAAATAATTTCAAGAAGTTGCTTTTGTATATATTGTAAGAAATGCTTAAATAAAGTTGCATCTTTTAAATAAATCTGTGTATATTTATAAAAGCATAAAGTCTTTGGTTTCATAAATATAGGGTGTACAACCGCTTGATGGAAGAAAAGATGGCAAGATGCTTTTTATATTCATATAAGAAATGCTTCAGTAAATAAAAATGGTGTCTATTTACTACATTTATGTTTATTTATAAAAGCAAAAGTTCTTTGGTTATATAAATTCAGTATAAGAACGCTTGACTGAAGATAAAAATTGCAATGGTGTCCTTTTTACTCATGTAAGAAATGCCTGAATAAATAAAATTGCCTCTATTTAATAAATCCATTTGTATTTATAAAAGCAAAAAGTTTTTAGTTTTATAAATATAGGGTGAAGAAACAACTAAAGAAAAAGAAATACAAGGTGCTACTTGTGTATTGTAAGAAATACTTAAATAAATAAAATTAGATCTATCTTTGAGTATTTATAAAAGCAAAGAGCCTTTGGCTTTATAAATACAGGGTGAAAAAAATACTTAACTAAAGAAAAAAAAATGGCAAAATGACACCTTTTTACTCACATAAAAATGCTTAAGTCAATGAAGTTGCATCTTTTTAATAAATCAATGTGTATTTATAAAAGCAAATGTTCTTTGGCTTTATAAATGCAGGGCATAAATGTTTCATAAATGCAGGGTATAAATGTTTTATAAAAGCAGGGTGGAAGAAACCCTTAACTAAAGAAGAAAAAAAACACAATTAGGTTCTCAGTAAGGAATTTACAATGTGGACCAAAGATTTGGGAGTAAAAAAAAATGAAGGTAAATTCAGGTAGTCCTCAACTTACAACCAGAATTGAGCCCAGCATTTCTGTTGCCAAATGAGACGTGTGTTAAGTGACTTTTGCCCCATTCTATGACCTTCTTTGCCACTGTTGTTAAATGAATCATTGCAGTTGTTAAGTGAATCTGGCTTCCCCTGTTAACTTTGCTCATCAGATGGTCACAAAAGGGGATCATGTGACCCCTGGACACTGCGACCGTCATAAATATGAGTCAGTTCTGAATTTGGATCACGTAATCATGGGAATGTTGCAGTGTGAAAAAAATGGTCATAAATCACTTTTTTCAGTGCCGTTGTAACTTTAAACAGTCACTAAATGAACTGTTGTAAGTTGAGGACTACCGTAGCTGTAGTCTAGCTTGACTGTAACCAACCTGCAAGCATCTTCTTGGACTGAGCCGGATATCTTATAATTCCTTCCTGGCAGGCCAGCTCAGAATGATGGTGGTTGTAGTTTCAGGTACTTGAAAGTTCATTGGAGAACCAGGGAGTTATCTAATTAAAGTGAATGGGACTTTCTGATTATGGTTTATTCCATCATACTTGGGATTCCATCCTTACCTGGTCACTGGTCAGTTATTTTTGGAGCTGACAACTGGAGGATTGGTAGCCTCGATCTGTTATTATTCCTGCTGGTTGTTACTACCATTCTCAGCCAGCCAAAGTAGCATGAAATTCAGAAATTTAGTGTGACTTTCTCCAGCTCCCCTTTAACTCTTTCTACCAGTAAAGGCAGAATATTCGAGAGAGAATAGAAAAAGATTAGATAGATTAGATAGATAGATAGATAGATAGATAGATAGATAATGGGTAGATAGATAGATAGATAGATGATAGATAGATAGATAGATAGATAGATAGATAGATAGATAGATAGATAGATAGATAGATGATAGATAGATACCAGACCTCATTAAATCCAGAGGCAGCCAAAACCATGGCTGAAATACACCTTGCATTTATTTTTTAAAAACTCCTCTCTTTTTTTGATCCTGAGTGATGATAGACATGATCTCCAAATTCTGATACGAAGAATTTGAACGTGGAGGGGGGGGATTTTTTTTGCTAGAGATGATAATGGATAATGCCCCCTGTTAAATCTTGCCAAACTCTTGTTTGCAGCGCAAATAATTTGGAGACAGTTTTGCATTAATTTGTTGACTTTTGCCCCAAATTGGATGGGTTGTCTGTTGTTGTTTTTTGCACTCTTTCTGGCTGGGGGAATTTTTTCAAGTGTCAGTTTCTATATGCTAATGCTCCAGAGGCAGATATACCATGGAGAGAGAAGGGGGGAGGGAGGGAGGGAGGGAGGGAGAAAGAGAAGATGGATGATGGGTAGATAGATGGAAAAACAGACAGATAAAATAGTGACAGAGAGAGGGATTAGATAAATGATAAGAGAGGAGGCCAAATATTCGAGAAAGAATAGAAAAAGATTAGATAGATAGATAGGTAGATAGATAGATAGATAGATAGATAGATAGATAGATAGATAGATAGATAGATAGATAGATAGATGATAGAAAGAGAAAGAAAGAAAGAAAGAAAGAAAGAAAGAAAGAAAGAAAGAAAGAAAGAAAGAAAGAAAGAAAGAAAGATGGTAGATGATAGACAGGCAGACAGACAGACAGAATAGTGGCAGAATATTAGAGAGAGAGATTAGATAAATGATAGAATAGAGGCAGACTATTAGAGAGAGAATAGAAAAAAGATTAGATAAAATAGAATTCTTTATTGGCCAAGTGTGATTGGACACACATGGAATTTGTCTTGA